ATTTTTGTTTAGAACATGTTAACAGGCATGGGTTTAGTTTTACTTTTCAGCATATGAATAGCCTGTTTTTATAGCTTCTTTTAATACAGAAACTTTCTTCCAGTGAACATGTTTGTCCTCTTTATCATAGATGATATGACTGAATGTGTTTGCAGATGTAGTTGTATCTTCTAATCTATTCCATTGATTTTAGGTATATTTTAATTTAAGTTCCATGTCAATTTTATTGCAGTACTTTGTAGTATAACTTCAAGCCCAGGGTAGTAATGCTTCCTGCCTTGAATTTGTTCCTCAGAATTACCTTTGCTATTCTGGGTCTTTTCTGGTTCCAGATGAATTTTAGGAATGATTTCTCTATATTTATGAGGTATGCTAGTGGCATTTTGATTGGGATTTCATTACATCTGTGGAACAATTTTAGGAGAATGGCCATTTTCACAATAGTTGTTCTTTGTTCATGGAAACAAATAGAACAAAACAAGAACAACAAATATTGTGAAAATGGCCATTCTGCTAAATTTTTTTCCACAGCTTTAATGCAATTCCAATCAAAATGCCACTAGCATACCTTCCATGAACAAGGTATGTCTTTCCATTTTCTGAGATCCTCTGGAATTCTTTTTTCAGAATATTATAATTTTCCCTGAAAAGAAATTCTACTTCATTTCTTAGATTAATTTCTATGTATTTTATTTTTAGATGTTATTTTAAAGGATATGATTTCTCTTATTTCTCTCTCAGGGACTCTGTTGTTTATGTATAGCTATGCTATTGATTTTTGTGTGTTGGCATTGTATCCAGATACATAAGTGAATTTTGTTATTATTCCTAGGAGTCTTTCAGTGGAGTTTTTGGGAACTGCTATGTGTTGTATCATGTCATGCTGAAATATTAATAATTTAACTTATTTTCCTATTCATACTCTTTTATTTCACTCTTTTTTCTAATTGTTCTGGCTAGTATTTCCAGCACTATATTGAATAGGAGTGGTGATAAAAGATTTCTTTATTCCTGATTGTAGACTAAAGGTTTTCAGTTTTTTTTCCTTTTAATGTGATAATGGGTATTAGTTTGTCATAGATGGCTTCTATCATATCAAGTTAAAGACCGTGAATTCCAATATTATGTAAGTTTCTTAGCATGAATAAGTGTTGGACCTCATCAAAGCTTTTTCTGCTTGTGTAGAAATTATCAGGTGATTCTTATTTTTGCTCTATTGATAAAGTGGGTTACATTCATTGATTTGTGTATTTGAACCATCCCTGCATTCCTGGGATGAATCCCACTTGATTGTGGTGTATAATATTCTTTATGATTTGCTGCATTCTGTTTGCCAATATTTTATTGAAAATTTTTGCATCTATGTTCTTTAGGGAGATTGACCTGTATTTGTCTTTTTTTTTCATTGGGTCTTTCTCTGTCTTTGGTATTAGAGTAATACTTGCTTCCTGTAATGAGTTAGGGAGAATTGCTTCTCTTTCAATTTCATTGAAGAGTTAGAGGACTGTCAGCATTAAAACGTCTTTCAATTTCTTGTAGAATTCCACCGTGAATACATCTAGACCTGGGCTTTTCTTTTTTGGTAAGTTTTTAGTTATATTTTCTATATTGCTAATTAAAATTGAGTTATTCAGCTGTTTAACATCTTTTTTAATTATATTTTCTATTTTATTAATGAATTGAATTATTCAGCTCTTTTACATTTTCTTGACCCAGCATTAGTAATTCATGTATTTTTAGGAATCTATCCTTTTCTTCTGTGTTATCAAATCTATGATAGTGGAGCTTTTGAAATAAGCATTGATGATCTTCTGTTTTTCCAGAAGGTCGATACAGATTTCAATCTTTTCATTCCTTATTGTACAAATTTGAGGTTTCTTTCATTTTTTATGCAAGGTTGTGTAGGGGGACTTATCAAATGTACTTATTCTTTTTTATATTTATTTATTTATTTATTTATTTTTGGTACTGGGGAATCAAAATCATGACTGTGTGCTTGCCAGGCAGACACTTACACCACTGTGCTAAACTTCCAGTAATTTTATTTTTTCCTTCAAAGAACAAAACCTTTAATTCACTTATTCTTTGTATTATTTTTTTAGTCTCTATTGCATTTACTTCTGCTCTGATCTTTATCGTTACCTCCCTTGCTTTGGCTTTGTTCTTAACCTGCTCTTCTTTTTCCACATGTTTAATGTGTAGCATCAAGTTTTTCATTTGTGTTCATTGTATTTCCTGATGTGGGAATTCAACACAATAAATTTTCCTCTAAAGACAGTTTTCATTACATCCCATTGCCTCAGGTGTTTTAACTTGCTTGTAGATATTGTTTAATTTCCTCTGTGACACACCGATTGTTCAGGAGTGCATTATTAAATTTCTACCTGTTTCTTTGTTTTATGCAGGTTCTTACGTCATTCATTTCTAATTCATGGTGCTATGATCTGATAACATGCATTGGATAATTTCAATTTTTTGCATTTACTTAAGCATAGTCTGTGGACTAGTATATGGTCTATTTTAGAGAATATCCCATGTGCTTCTGAGAATAATGTATGTTCTGATGTTGTTGGGTAAAACACTGTGTTCACACACTAACCTCATTTAATCAAAGTGTAGTTTACTTCTGTTATTTTTTTTGCTGATTATCTATTTAGTTGAACAGTCTGTTTCTGTCAGTCAGGTGTTAAGGCCTTTGTTATAATTGTGTTGTTGCTAATTTGACTTTTCATTTCTGGAAACATTTGTTTTGTATAGCTTAGTGCTCCCTAATTTGGTGCCGAGATATTTAAGATTTTCTTTTTCTCTTTAAGTTTTCCCCTAACTAGTATGTAGTGACCTTTTTTATCTCTTTGTGTCATTCTTGGTTTGAAGCTCACATTGTCTGAAGACAGAATAGCTACCCCCTGTTTTTATGGTGCGTGGGGGATTCCTGTTGCATGAAGTACTGTTTCTATCCTTAGACTTTCATTCTATGACTTTCCTTTCGGATTATACTGGTTTCTTATATACAGCATATGTGTGGATGTTGTTTCTTGATCCATTCTGCAAGTCTGTTTCTTTTAATTGGTGAACTGAGGTCATTTACATTTAAGTTATAAGTGTTATTTATTGGTTAATTGTTGATATGTTATCTTTCTGCTGTTACATCTTTATTTTTCAATTCTGTTTAATTGTCTGCCTTGCTTATTGTTTTTTTTCCTATGTGTATCTAGACTATCTTTCAGTATTCTTTGCATGGTTGGTTTGAGGATCATGAAGATCTTCAGCTCTTCTTTGTCATGGAAGTGTCTTATTTCTCAGAAATTTTGAAGGGCAGTTTTGCAAGGTACATTAGTGTAGGTTGTAAGTAATTTTCTGTTAGGACCTGAAATGCTTCTCTCTATGCTCTTTCTGACTTCATTCTTTGTATTGAAAATCTCCTGTCTTCTGATAGGCTTTCTCTTATAGGTGATTTATTTCTTTTCCCTAACAGCTTTTAATATTCTCTTCTTATGTTGCCTTACTGGGATGTTGGCTATTATTATATGTTGCTGTAGTTTTATTGGTTATGGCTATTTGTTATTCTACACGTTTAACTTATCTGTATCTCATGTTTATTCTCAGGTTTGGGAAATGTTCAGATATTACTTCTGTAGTTAGTTCTTGACACCAATTGTTTTGTCATGTTTTTTGTTTATAACTATAGATCTTACATTATTTTTCTTTGTATCTTTGTACTAGCTGTAATCTTATCTTTAGGCCATAAAAGCCTATCTTCACTTTGACTGAGGCAGTTTTGTCAACTTTTGATGGAATTTTTGATTTCTTGAATATTATTTTGAATCTATTTCATGCATTTGCTTTGTTTCTTATATTGATCATTCAAGCTTTCCATCTTTTGGCATTGTTTCTCAAAATTTTTACCTATTTCTTCTTTAGATGTATTCAGTATCTCTTTAATTACATTTATCATTTTTGTTCTTTTGCTCGGAAGGTAATTTCTGACTTGACTTTTTTCATAGCTTCCCAGAGTTGTTTCTTTACTTCAGTTGCTATCATTTCAGGAGTTTCTTGTGTGTGTCTTACATTTTCTCCTATATCCATATCTTATAGGCCTGCTTTGTGTGGGCTTGTAGTTTGAGACTAGATTTGGTGCTATTTTCTTTTTTGTCATTAACTATATTCCTTTAATGAAACTAAAGGCAAGGTCTCAGTCATTTCTTGGGTTGGGAATACCTATCTCTATTAAAAGGAGTTTCCCCAGTTGAGTGGAGATCCTTAGACAGACTTTGCCATGTGGCTTCCTGTCACTTGTGGTCACTGTCTCGGGTCCTCCCAGTCTCAGAGCAGTGCGTCAAGGCCTCCTGGTGGGGTGGAAATCACTGCATACCTTTTCAGCTCACAAGCCAATTTACGAAGCTGTAGTCCACTTGGGTATTGCTGGATATGGCCCCAATAAAGCCCAGAGGAACATTCTGATGTGTCCTCCAGTGATGTGTGACACTGGACAGGGCCTTACCAGTCTTGGGGTGATATACTACAGCTTTCCTGTGGGATGGAAATCACCGTGCACCCTTTTGGTCATGAAGGAAAATGCAGGCTGCTGTTGACCACTGAAGAGTCACAGGATGGGGCTCAAGTATGCCCACAGAGACATTTCAGTGTGTCCTCTAGTAATGTAGGACACTGAGCAGAGCCCTACCAGTCCCTCAGCTAGATGCCAAAGCTTTCTCCTGGAGTAGAAATCACTGCATGACTTTTAGACTCACAAGGCTGAATGCAGTTGGCCATAGATCAAGAGCAGTTACGGGATTGGGCCCAATGAGGCCAAGAGGGGCCCTCTGTTGAGTCCACCAGTGATTTAGAATACTATGCAGGGCCAGTCTCAGAACAACACACCAAAGCTTCCTCATTTGATCCGGCCTGCAGATCAACATATCCAGAACTCCTGGAAGGGTAAACGAGGATTAAATAAAAGACATGGGGGAGACAAAATAGATGAAGGCAAGTTGAGATAATCCAATCAAGCCTTTGGTTTATTCAGAAAATGATCACACCTTTTATAGGCTAAGGGTGGGAGCTGGGACAGGAAGAGGTTAAACAGTTTAATACAACAGGGTCACCGTCACATCCGGATACATGACGTAAACAGGAGAGGATTATGGTTAATGTAGGCAGACGCAGTGCCCATAGAGAGAGGCATGGAGGCAGCAATGCCTGTCACTCAGCTCCCTACATCTCCTCCCTTTTTATATTATTTAATTAAGAGTATGGCAGGCCCTGTGAGGACAGCATCTGTCTTAGGTCAAGGACCTCATTGCATGAACCCAACCAGGCCTTACCTGTCATGGGCTTGCAGAACAGCAGGTGGTCCTGTGCCTGTCTTAGGTGGCCATTGGAATTAACATGCATGTCCTAGTTGCCCGTCTCTGACTGCCTGTCCATTGCCCCAGGGAAGTTAGGCCGCATCATCATATGGGCCACTATGGGAATTCCTTCCTGGTAGGTTTGTTGATCTGCCATCTCCAGCTGATGATAGTGTACCCATTCAGGTACACTATCAGCTGGATGATAGTGTACCTGAATGGGCTTTGCCATAAATGCGTCTATCCGGTTATTAATGAACATCATAATCCTCTGAAAAATACAAGGATTCACAGAAATGAGAAGCAATAGGGCAGCTAGTGGACCCAAAAGGGGCACTAGGTAAGGGAAAAACTCCCCCCCCCAAATCAAGGAGAAGGGGTTGACAGCCATTTGTTGGAGTCTCTGTATGAAGTCATTCTCCTATGTCTTGGAGCATGCCTTGCATAACACTGGATGCAGTCTATTTGGGTGGTGTATGTTCCTCCAGACCAAGAGGAGCCTCTTCCACAGTCATGGGGTTCTGTACATGGCTGTCAGCAGTTGTAGTCTGTTTGGCAGGGGTCAAAATTCATCATGGGTGTGGTGTGGCTCAAGAAGGCTGACTAAGCAGCATAAGGCTCCAGGGAGATGTGTCACCTGTAAGAGAACACAGGGGATTGGGCCTCATGAAATAACATTATTCCTGGGTGTTACATGGGGTCTTTGAAGAACTGTCTACTTGCTTTATGAGGCATTCAGGTAGCCATCTAGCTTCTCTATCTTGTTGAGAGTAAAAACACACTGAACCTCGTCCCCAGATAAGGACTGGGTCAGGGCCATTCCACACATTGGTTAGTGGGTCTCTCCATAAAACAGATGCAAACCGTGTTTGAGTCTGAGTATGCCAAAACCGAGATGCTGCAGAGCAGCCTGAAGCATCCAGGGTCAGAAAATTTAAAATAAAAAGAGCATGTGAAAGGACATTTCTAGGGGACCCCTGGGTGGAGTACCATGTCTAGCTTTTTATTTTATCTATGGTGAATTTAAGAGAATGATGCGCACGTTCAACAATGCCTGAGGATTATAAGGTATACCTGTGGTGTGGAGGATATTAAGGCTCTTACAAAATTGAGCAAAGGAGGTACTGGTATAGCCAGGGCCATTATCAGTCTTAAGCTGTTGAGGACATCCCAGAACTGAGAAGGCTGACAGCATATGGGCTATAATGTGTTACCAGCTTCTCCAGTCTGGAGAGTTGCAAAAATGAAGCCACTATATGTGTCAATAATGACATGTACATATTTTAGATTGCCAAACTCATTGAAATGGGTAACATCCATTTGCCATAAGGTGTTAGGAATTAAACCTCTAGGGTTGACTCCTAGGTGTTGAACAGGTAAGTGGATAGCACAAGATGGGCAATTTTTTACAATTTGTCTGGCTTGCTCATGGGTAATTTTGTAGAGGAGGAGGAGGGTGTGAGCACTGAGGTGGTGTAGCTGATGGGCTTGTTGGGCCTTAGACACCTTGGAGTCCTGAGCCATAAAAACCTGTGCTCGTACAGCAACTGAAGAACCAGAAATTTAAAGGTTAAAAACAAGATGCTGTTTCTCAGCTAGAAACAGCACTGGGCCTCGTGACTCAGTCCTAACTCAGCCCTGAAGGAAGAAAAAAAAAAAAAAAAACCATCTGTGGCTATGATGTTCTCGGGATGTGCTGTGCCAGGGAACTCAGAGATAGAGCCTGCCATTACACTAATCAGGGTTGTAAAATATGTCAGACTCGAGCCTACAGAAACCAGGTGTCTTAAAGACAAGTTGTGCAGAACAAAGATAGTTAATTAACTCTGACCCGCTGGTCACCCCTTATGAACTGACCAATAGCAGATAGATAAGATGCCCACCGCTCCGCACTAACTGTAATGATTGGCTTCTGTAATAAATGCTTACATTGCAGTTTTTCCCCCTTAAAAACACCAGCCTTGCCCCAACTCAGGGTTCTCTTTTTCCACCTGTTTGGAGGACACGTGTACGTGGAATAATAAAAACCCCTTTGTTCTTACATGAGAGCAAGGCCCTTAGAGTCTTCCTTGCGACACCGGTGTTACATTTTGGAGGCCCCAGCGAGATCAAACTGAGATCAGACCTCCTCGCAGAGGGAGACCCCAACGGCACCTCTCTAGGGTAAGTAGTACGGCTGGTTTTTGTTTACTTTCATTTTGATCGATCGCTTATTTTCTCCCCTTTCTTTTACTGCCCTGAACCGTTCATTTTCTTTGGTTCTGATTTCAAAGGCAGTTTGTTTCTCTTGGGGGACGCCCCAAGGTTCCCCTGAGGAATGTTCATCGGTGGCTCACCGGTTCGCGTAGGCAGGTCACTCCTGCTGAGTTGGGCAGGTCGCTCCTGCCTTTAGTTGTAGCCATTACACGGCTACGTTCGTGTAGGTAGATCGCTCCTGCTGAGTTGGGCAGGTCGCTCCTGCCGTTAGTTGTAGCCATTACATGGCTACGTTCACGGTGGAATATTTTGCCAATTCGTTTCCACCTGGTGGTTTTGGTATGTGTGTGCGTGATGCCGGCTTGTGAGCTGTGTTCTGAAATGTAAACTTTTTGTGTTTGTCTGTGTCTTCCCTGTTCATTGTTATTATTCTCTTTTTCTCCAGGATAAGATGGGACAGACAACTTCATCTCCTCTCTCCCTTACCATGGACCATTGGCCCAAGGTTTGAGAGCGAGCTCACAATCTTTCTCTCCAGATTAAAAAGGACATGATTAATGGTGGTACAGCTGAGGGAAAAATGCCCTCCCTACAGTATTGGCCATTCTCCTCCTTGGTTGCCTGTTTAAACTTGTTACTAACTTAGGGGCTTGTTGCCCATTTCTGTTGCAGGATCCATATGACTTACTAGATTCAAGGTTCATGATAAGAAAAATAATTTTCTTTAGCTCAAAACTGCGCAAGAAACAACCTTTGCTTGTGTCTTTAATGTTGTGGTGCCTTGTTTAATATGTAAGTCTTCAACTGATTGCTTGCAACCTTGGCATGCCTTTTAAAAGGAGTATTTTTCTTTCTGGTTAAAAAGTAAACATATGTGCACATATATGTGTATATTTATGGTTTTTAAAAATCATATCAGCTTTACCAAGTGAAAACAAGGTCATACTGTAATTGAGCCAGTTAAAAGTTTATAGTTTTTTAAAACAATAACAAAAACAAAAAAAACCCCAGCATTTTAATGTGGTAAAAAGACATAAAATAGTTAAATATGATTTAGACTACTAGAAGGTGACTTCAAGGGTTTTGTTGTGAGTTTTAATGTTGTCTGAGAAGCGAGAGAAAAGGTAATTGACTGGTGATAGTAAAAAGGAGGGACAAAGAAAGTGGTTTGTCTTCAAGTAAAAATGTCTGGCTGTGCCAGAATATGAAAGAAGATAAAACTTGCAGGTATATTGTAAGTTATAGAAAGCTCGAGATGATGTAAATTTTATTTGTCTTTGTTATAATACTGAAAACAGCAGGTTTGACAAGAAGTACTTGTGTTCAAAATTTGACAGTATTAGATCAGTTTTGGTAGATTTATTTATAAGATTCTCAACCTTTGCTGCAAAGTTTTTCCATTAATATGAGATTATAGATGATAATAGAGTTAAGATATAAGTTCTCACATGTGCTGTGAACATCTGGGAGATTATATGGCACAATTTTGTCACCTATGAAAAAGCTTCTTTTTGTTATTATGTAATTTCAGTAAAATGATGGCCTGCCACGTGGCACCCTGGGACAAAAGGTGATGTGCCATCCAAAAAAAGCCTGCTCTCTAATCCAGAATGTCAAAACCATGTTTTCCCTTTGTCCCACCCCAATTGGACATCCAGAGGTAAGGGGGTTTCCGCAGCAACACCAGTTGTTCTCTTTGCAACTCAATCGGCCCCACATGTTAGAAAAAAGTTTACAAAGGTTTGAGAGTTTTTGAGAAAATGCCCCTCGGCCAGGTGATAGAGATAACACAAGAGATCTTTTAAAATTTAGGAAGAAAAAACACCCTGAGATAGTGCTCCTCCAGTTTGTGAATGACTTGTTAATAGCCTTGACTCCCCCCCCCCCCCAAATCTTGTAAGCTTATTGAGAGGCAACTGAGAAACTGTTAAGGACTTTGGGGCAATTAGGCTATAAAGTCGCAGCTAAAAAGGCCTGATCGTGCTGTCAGGCTGTGGCTTATCTGGGCTACAAAGTGCAAAAAAAAAAAGGAGGGCTTTGTCTAAAAAGGAGCCCAGGCTATATTGCAGATCCCATTCCCAGAAACTAAGAAATAGGTGCGCGAATTTCTGGAAGCTGTGGGATACTCCAGGCTGTGGATTCTAAATTTTACTGAAACAGCTCACCCTCTATATGGCTCCCTTAAGGGAAAAACTCACTAAACTGGACTTATAAATGTAAATGGATCTTGCAGCAGCTCAAGTGGGCCTTAACAGAGGCCCCAGCCCTGGGACTCCCTGATGTTACCAAGCCATTCACTTTGTTCATAGATAAACTCAGGGGCATTGCCAAAGGAGTCCTAACCCAGGACATTGGCTCTTGAAAGAGGCCTATATCCTATCTTTCCAAAAGGCTCAATCCAGTAACAAGAGGGTGGCCTCCATGCCTAAAAATTCTGGCCACTGTGATAATGCTACTTAAAAGAGGCTAAGAAACAGAAGATTTCAGTAGTGACCTACCACAGTTTAGAGACTCTTATCAAAACCCCTCCCGAAAATGTAAATGCTAAAATCTCACACTATTAGGCCCTGCTCCTAGACCCAGAATTGGTAGTTTTCAAGACTTCTTCAGCTTTAAACCCGGCCACCCTTATGCCTGACAATGACCTGAGAAATTTCACAGATGGAAGCAGCTTCATCCAGAACAGCAGAGGCAGATGAGTGGCCGGGGCAACAGTGACCACCAAAAGGAGGTACTCTGGGTTAAGCGGTTAGAGCCTGGCATCTCTGACCAAAAGGCGGAGGTCAATGCTTTGACTGAGGTACTAAAACTAGCCACAGGAAAGAGGGTAAACATCTATACTGATAGTAGATATGCTTTTGCTACTATACATATACATAGAGCCATCTATTAAGAGCAAGGTCTCTTAACCTTGGCCAGAGCTAAGATTAAAAAAAAAAAAAAGAGGACTCCACAGATCCTAGATTTGCTGGAAGCATTCTGGCTGTCAGCAGATTGCTGCTATTCACCTGAGGAAACAATTTGGCAGATCAGGCTGCTCAAAGAGTAGCAATCACATCAGAGAGGCCAGCCGAGAAAGTAACTGCTCTGATGTGAGTTCCCCCAACCTTGTCAGAACCAGTCTACACAAAAAAAGACTACTCTGGTTGTTGTGAGCCATCTAACATAGTTGAAAACCCAAGTATGTATATGGAGCAGTAAGCTGTACTTTATCAGGGGCTATTTGAAGTCCAGCCTCTTGTAAGGCAACCTGTAAGTCCTGGTAGCACCTTAGAGTTTGGTTTTGATCATCTCCTGCCAAGAGGATATTGTCCATATAATGAATAATATAGATATGTGGCCAATGATCTCTGACTGGTTGTATTGCAGTGGCTACAAAAGACTGGCATAGTGTGGGGGAATTAGCCATACCTTGCGGCAAAACTCGCCTTTGAAATCTCTGCATAGGGGCTTTAAAATTAATTGATGGGAGACTTAAGGCAATACGCTTTTGGTCCTTTGGATGTAAAGGAATAGAGAAAAAGCAATCTTTAAGATCTATGACAATTTTTAAAAAATCCCAAGGGAATGCCACTGGGTGAGGGGAGGCCTGGCTGTAGGGGCCCCATTAAGACCATTGTCTTATTTATTGCCCTAAGGTCTTTAGCAGCCTCCATTTCCCTGACCTTTTCCAGATAACAAAGATAGGTGTGTTCCAAGGGCAATTACTAGGGACAATGTGGCCTGCATCTAACCAGTCCTGCACAAGCTGCTGTGCGGCTGCAAACTTTTCAGAGGTAAGGCCACTGATTGACCCATACCGGCTCTACTGACAGCCATGTAATTTGTTTAGCATGGATCGCAGGAGTGTCAATGGCCCCTAAGAAAAATGGCCTAACTCAACTTTAGCATTGTTAGGGATGGGAATGATGGGATCAGTAATGCCCATGTTATTTTTTCCTAAGCTCTGTTTTGGCAGGTAGCCCTTATTAAGCATTTGCATTGTGACAACATTATTAGGGCTTCCCATAATTAATCCCATTTGGGAGAGTAGGTCCCTACCCCATAAATTAAGAGGCAGACTCTCTATGACATAAGGTTGTAAGTGTCCCTGATTACCTTCTTGATCTCTCCAAACCAGTTGTTTGGAACTGCGTTGTGGATTTTTTGAGTGTCCAATCCCTTGGAGGTGAGTTAAGGTTGTTTCTAAAGGCCAGGCAGTAGGCCACTCCTCCTTTTTGATAATGGAAACATCTGCGCCTGTATCAATGAGGCCTGAGAAACTTTTTCTATCTAAAGATAGAGTCATGAGGGGCTTTTGTTTGGAGATACGTTGGGCCCAATATACATCAGAAGCTCCAGGAAAGGAGTTCCCCCTATAAGGAGTTATGGATTTATTAGATGTTTGACCCAACAGCAATAGCAGCAATTGAGCAAGGCGTTGCCCTGTCCTAACTGGTATGACACCAACAAGGGGAGAAACCATGACTTTTATTTCTCCTGTGTAATCACTATCTACTATTCCTGGTAGAACTTGTAATCCTTTAAGCATAGTGCTAATGCGTCCAATAATAAGTCCAAAAGTCCTGGGGGGAGGGAGCCCATAGATTCCTGAGGGCATGATCTGAACACCCATGTCAGGGGTTAATACTGTGTTGGAGGTGGAACAGAGGTCCAACCCCGCAACTCCCTGGGGTTGCCTTGAAGAGGTCTGAAATGGATGGTTTTTTGCTGGGACAAACCTTGGAGCCCCACAGGTTTGTCCGGAATTCGGGGCCTGGGGCCAGCCCCATAACCTGTTTCCCTGTGGAGGAAGAGGGTTACCATGAACATCTCTTTTGGATTTGCACTCATTAGCCCAGTGGTCTCCTTGCTTACATCTAGGACATAGCCCTGGTTTTTTTGTAGAGGACTAATTTTGATTTTTTCTTTTGCACTCATGAGCTGTGTGGCCACTTTGGCCACATTTGAAACAAATGGCATCTTTTTTAGGACGAGAAAGGGATTGTGTAACTATGCAACCTTGTTGTGTTGCAGCCATGGCTAGGCCTTGATAAACTGGCCTGATATCTGTACATAAGCGGATATAACCGGATAAGTCCTCTTTTTTTGCGATGTGGTCAAATTGCAGCCTGACAATCTGAGGTTGCATTTTCATAAGACAATTGTTTAACCAGGGCAGAGTTTGTTTCTGTGGAGCCGAAAAGACGCTCTGCCACCTGTAAGAGGTGATTGACAAAGTCCAAAAAGGGCTCTTCAGGCTTTTGTTTTATTTGGGTGAGAGATAAGGTAGGCTCGCCTCCTGAGGGGAGCCGTTTCCATGCTCTAATGGCTGCCATATTAATCTGGGCAAAGAGGCCCAAATCGAACTGCATTTGGGTCTCTTTTGTGGCAAAATCTCCTGTTCCTGTAAGCATAGCGAGGGTCCAGGGGTTTGGCCATGTGGCATTTCTCTGGCTATGTCCTCGCATTGATCAAAAAATTCAGATCTCCATAATAGATAATTGCCTCCAGAGAGGGTGGTTTTTGCTAAGTCTTTCCACTCATTAGGAATAATCCAACCCTGAGTCAAAGAATCTAGAACTGCAATGGTGTAGGTAGCAGTCGGGTCATATTGAGAGACTGCGGCCTTTAACTCTTTTAAGGCTGCCACAGTGAAAGGTGTGTGTATCCTAATAGCTTGTGGTTCAGTGCCCTCTTCAACATCCCATGGGGGAGTAAAGGCCTCTGTGACTGGGAAAGCCATTTTAGGCTGGCTGCCAGAGGCAGGCACCATGTTAAGTGCACTACAAGGCGTGCTGGAGGCAGGCTCCATCTCAGGGACACTATAAAACTGTGTAGCTCAGAGGGCCTGCAATTGAATTGAAAGATTTTGGCATTCTTTTTCTAGCTGTATCTGTTTTAAAAGATCCGTTTTTCTTTGCTCTAATCCCACTAATGTGCTAGAAGGTTGAGTGCAGATGCTGAGTGCATCATCATAGTCAGGCGACGGCCTAATAGCGGCCGGTGCTGCAACAGGGTTAGGGTGCTATGTAGAGGCTTGTGTTGGTTGTTCCCAGTTGACCTCCTGAGAATCAGAAAGGCTGGGGTCTAAAGGCTTATATGAATCCCCAATTGGCCATGGAGGCACAGGGAGTGGCGGGCTGCCATCCTGGGACCTGCTGATCATGTCAACAGGTGGAAGTGGTGGCAGATCACCATGTATGAGGACCTCTAACAGGCTATCATCCTCTGCATCTGAGAAATCAGAGGCTTCAGATTTTTCTGAGGATGGTTTTGAGGTAGATTTAATGGAGTCACGCAGGGCAGTCTCACCTAGTGCAACTGTCTCCTCAATCTGAGGCTCTGCATGCCTCTGGGCAAGCAGCTCAGAGATTAAATTCCAATATGTAAAGGTGGTCACAGGAACCTTTTCTGGACCAAAAACTGTATAATAATCTTTTAAAGCATCTCTTACTCTTTTCCACCTCTTGGTATCTATAGAACCCTCTAGGGCAAACCTTATGAATAAATTGAAAATACTACAATAATTCTTTTGTTGCAACCCTTACCCCTCTTGTCTTTAGTGCCTTAAAAGACCTCCCACGAACACTTCATGTTCGTTCAATACTTGACCCATGTCCGGGAAGGGAAATGGGGTTGCCGTTCACTCACCATGACTTGGGCAGGACGTTGGGTAGTCATCTGTGCAGGTCTCGGTACTTAATTTAATGTCCTGAAGCTTTAAGCTTTAATCCTTGATTCAGTTTACTCACTCCTCGGCCAAGGTCTCCTGTTCAATTTGCTTTCATTTTCAGTTTAAGCCGGCTGTCTCTCAAACGGCTTCCTCGTTAACTCCTCTGTGCCAGGAGCTCCCACGCTGGGTGCCAGTTGATCCAGCCTGCAGATCAACATATCTAGAACTCCTGGAGGGGGAACGGGGATTAAATAAAAGACATGGGGGAGACAAAAGAGATGAAGGCAAGTCGAGATAATCCAATCAAGCCTTTGGTTTATTCAGAAAATGATCACACCTTTTATAGGCTAAGGGGGGGAGCTGGGACAGGAAGAGGTTAAACAGATGAATAAAACAGGGTCACCATCACATCCGGATACGTGTCGTAAACAGGAGAGGATTATGGTTAATGTAGGCAGACGCAGTGCCCATAGACAGAGGCATGGAGGCAGCAATGCCTGTCACTCGGCTCCCTACACTCATTGGTTTGAAGTTGCTGCCCCCACTTTTAGCTCACAAGGCATAACACAGGCAGCAATGGGCTGCTTTGGAGTAGCTGGGGGGAGACAATGGTTTTCTTTAATTAAACTGCATGTGTAATCACTAAGGAGAGAAAAACAGAATGTATGAAGATTACTTTGAGAAATACTGGGACTATGTTCACTAGGTTAGACAAATATCAACCTAGTTTTCATTCCTTCGTAAGATATTCTCTGAAAATTAAGTGAATTTATTGACCTTCTCTACTTCACAATTATTAAATTATTGAAATAGACACATAACTTTGAGTCTTTCTAAATGTTCAAAGAATTCTTTGGTTTTTCTTTCAATTAGGTTAAAATTACACCTTGGTTGTTTAGAATATTACAATGTAAGTTGTGATGGCAATGATGCACAACAATGTCTTTAGTTAAACTTAGGTTATCTTATTTATCCCCCCCAAAAAACACAATCCACCTAGTAGTATCAACACTGAATGCCTGTCATCTAAATGTTGAAAACCACTCATCTTGTATTTCTGTAGACTTTACTATTCTGATAATGATTTTCCTTTTTTTATGCAAAATAGACCATAACCATAAAACCAATAAAAATCTTAAATATATCCAAAGTAATAGAATCATGCAAAATGATCTCTCAAAACATAGTGATTAAATAAGAAAGTCAGCAGAAATATAGTTAGAAAACAACAAATTTTCTGTTTTCTCTCTATTATCCAAATAAACATTTCTTAGAACGCAAGCCATGCAATGTTCAAGCTTATGTATTTAATCTACATCCCTCAACATTATGATCTCAAATTACATCCAAATTCCTACTACTGTTTCATATTTATCTTTCTTTAAGGTGTTACTCCATTCTTAGCAACAGTATATTTCTTTGAAATTATTCCTCCAGGAATGGGGACATACACCATTTTCAGGACTTAGCTACTATTAATTGTGCTGCTGTAAACATGGGAATTCATACATCATTGTGGCTTAATATTTCTAACTCTTGTGGCAAGGTACATAAAGGTTAATAGCCATATAAAATGTAAATTACAATTGTAGTATTTAAGGACTCTTAATTCTGATTTCTACAGTGCTTGTATCCCTTTACACTCGAACCAACAAAGAAGAGTGGTTCCTTTTTCTTCACAGCCTCACTAACTTTGCTATTGGTGGACTTGCTGGTGGTAGTCATTCTTCCATGGGTGAAAGAGAATGCTGTTGTTGCTCTAATTTGCATTTCTGAAATGTGGGTTGTTAGGGAAAAATTAAAAGAAGCAGAGGTAAGAATTCAACATGACAGGTTTATTTCGAAACCAACTGAAAAAACTACTCTGGGCTTCAGGTCTGACCAGCCATGCCCCTGCAGGCTACAAAGACCTTTAGAAGTTCGTGAGTATCAAAGGAAAGGCTGTAGGAAAAAATAACACTAGAACTTTTGAGGGCGAAAGCTCAGTATGGAGGCTGGCTATCTACTACAATAACAGATTGAAAACATACATAGAATTTTGTTTCATTTGTTAAGAAAATTATCAAAATTTATTGGAAATTCTCACATTTAGATGTGTTTCTGAGACTTCTGGACCTTTAACACTGCATCTGAAGCCACATTAAAATGCATAATATGGGGAAGGTTTTAAAGTGGTCTGTGTTGTATTGGAGTGACAGTGGATAGATACTGTCTAAAGTGATACTGTAAATTTTTTCATGTATTTATTGGCTGTTAGTGTTTCTCCAACTCAAAAATGATAATTCATTTTAGAATTGATTCTTTAAATAGCGAGTTTAATTTCTTCTGTGTTTTTCATATATTCTGGATGTTACTCTTTGTCTAACAACAACTGGCCATTATGTTTTCCCATTCTATAGATTTAGTATTCACTTGGTTGATGGGTTCTTTGTCATGAAGCATATTTAAATATAATATGATCCTATTTGTGGATTCTTGGTATTATTTCTTGCACAATGGAAACTTTATTTAGAAATTCTTTGTATGCAGCTTATGTTTTGAATGTTTATGCATTTTTGTCTGCCAGCATATTAAGTGTTTTTGTTTTAATGCTGAAATTTTAGTCTCATTCTTTGTATTATTATGTATGGTATCAGTTATGGGAAAAAGTTCAAATTTAAGCATGTTGGGCCATTTTTTTGCAGTGCAATTTGTTCATCAGTCTGTTTTTCTCCAAAGAAAATTTGGCTTCTTTGTGCAGGTCGTGTAACTGTGTCTGTAGTTGTGTTTCTACCTTCTCTTCTGTGTGACGGGTCCACAATTTTTATTTTTACTTTTTTAAAAATTTTATTTAAAAGGAAAAAGAGAAAAACACAAAACAAAACAAAGCAGTGTTAGGGTACAAGTAATACAGAACTGCAAAAAAAAAAAAAAAAAACAGTAAGAAATCACCAGTTAATAGATTGCATATTATCATCTTAGAAATAGTTGCTCAAATCACAGTAGCAAAGAATACAAAGTGGACATTCAAACAGTGAGACTGCAAACAGTTGTGTTCAATGATCCAACCAAAAATATTAATATGGTCAGCTATTTAACACCCCTAAACACACTTGCTGTTGTATCCTTTAGAGTTCTTTTTTTCCCTCTCTTTTTTACAACAAAATTTACACATTTTGCATTTTATTACTCCTTCGTTCTTACTACTTTGTTTGGGGGGAGGGAGAGAATAAAGTCAAATATGGCAAAACAAAGCTGTCAGTCAAAACCAAGGAGAGACAAAGCACATGATGTAAAACAGAGTACAAGGTTATCAACAATGGTTATCAACAATGTCTCTTGTTTCCTTAAAAAGAATTGTCTATCTCATTAGATATTATAAAGTTGAACAAAACAGTAGAGAACAAGAACAATAAAACTTAAGCATTGTAAACATTACAGGACTTCCAAAGAGACAATAAGTCACACCAGAATGGGCATCTTAGTGAATCTTATTGCCTTCAAAGTAGTTGCCTATACCCTCAAACTTGATACTATCATACAGAATGGAACAGAGTCTAATCAGTCAAAACAAGATCATGGGAGTATTACAGAACTTCAAAACAAGTTAATAGGAAATCACAAAAGTTACCATTATATATCCTGCTAATTTTTAAAATGTTTCCCCTTAATTAAAACAAACATAAGAAATAACTAAAAAAATTTTTTAAAGAATAAGGGAGAGATTGAGATAAAACAGGATATAACAATATAATAATACAGGTCAAAGCATGACTGTTTCAGCAACCTAGCACTTCACCACCAAATAACCCGACTTAATAGTAGTTACCATAGTGTCTGTCTTTTTCCTTGAAATAGTTGAATAAAACTTCGTATACTATAGCTTCAAATATTTCCATATCAAGAAGCCCAGAATAAAGACTTTCCAATTAATAAGTGAAAACTTTATAAGGCTTCAAGGCCACATAATGGGGAATCATGATTACCACATATTTTTATATATTTGAATCATTACTTACATTAGGGAAACTATTCGGTATTCACACATGCGAGATTGACTTATTTCACTTATGAGTATGGTCTCAAGCTGTGCCCATTTATTGATAAATATCTCAATGTGATCCTTCTTTATAGCTGAATAATACTCCATTGTATAGAAATACCAAAAATTTTTATCCATTCCTCAGTTGATGGACACTTGGGTTGTTTCCAAGATCTGGCGATTACAAATTGTGCTGCTATAAACATAGGTGCACATATATCACAGTGGTATGATGCTTTCAGTTCTTCTGGGAATATGCCTAGAAGTGGAATAGCTGGAATAAATAGGACTTCCAATCCCAGCTTTTTGAGAAATCTCCAGGCTGACCTCCACAAAGGCTGCACCAGTCTACACTCCCACCAACAGTACAGGAGAGTTCTCTTTTCCCCACAGCCTCTCCAGCATTTGTTGTTGTTGGTTTTCTTGATCCTGGTCATTCTTTCCGGAGTGAGAAGGAATCTCAGTGTGGTTTTAATTTGCATTTCTCTAATGACCAATGATGATGAACATTTTTTCATGTATTTATTTGCCATTTGCATTTCTTCATCTGAGAAGTGCGTATTCATCTCAGATGCCCATTTTTGGATTGGATCTTTGAATTTTGGGGGTCTGAGTTTTTTTAATTCTTTATATGTTTTAGACAAGAGTCCTTTGTCTGAGAGAGAGTTTACTAAAATCTTTTCCCAGTTTGTGGGTTTTCTTTACACTATGCTGGAAATTTCTTTTGACGTGCAGAAACTTTTTAATAAGAAGTGGTCCCATTTATTGATTCTGGGAAGTATTTCCTGTGCAGTTCGAGTCCTGTTCATGAATTCTCTACCTACTCCTATGTCTTCAAGGTTTCTACCCAATTTGTCTTCCAAAAGATTTAGTATTTCTGTTTTAATATTCAGATCTTTGACCCAATTAGATTTTAATTTAGTACATGGTGATAGACATGGGTCTAGCTTTAGTTTTAGGCAAATGGAGAGCCAGTTTTTCCAGCACCATTTATTAAAGAGACTGTCGTTCTTCCAGTGAACCTGCTTGGCTCCTTTATCAAAGATAAGGTGGTTGAGTGTGTTTGTAGTTGTGGTTGTATCTTCTAATCTATTCCATTGATCTTCGGCTTTGTTTTGATTCCAATACCATGTTGATTTTACTACTGTTGCTTTGTAGTATAACTTCAAGTCAGGTATTGTGATGCCTCCTGCTTTGTCTTTGCTGCATAGAATTGCCTTTGCTATTCTAGGTCTCTTCTGGTTCCAGATGAAATTTAGGAGTGATTTCTCTAGATCTATAAGGTATGTTGACAGTATTTTTATTTGGATTGCATTGAATCTATATAACAGTTTTGGGAGAATGGCCATTTTCACAATGTTTGTTCTTCCTATCTATG